GGGGTGGGGTGGGCAGGGCCAACCAGGGGTGGGATTTGCTGGTTTGCCGAACTGGAGATAAAATTAACAACCGGTTCGCTCGAACCGGTACGACCCAGTTGCAGTCCACCCCCTGCTTTCAACCGTTGTAGCATCTCCTTGATCAAGCGATCAAAATTCAGACGCTTGGCAACTGACTCATATTTGTGACAATTGTGGAGTCATGCAATCCCCTGTTGCGACAAGCAAAGTCCCATTGGGAAGCCAGATTCACTGAACCACAGGGGCAAAGAAAGGTCGTAAAATGGAGAAAAATTCCCTGAACCGACGTCTCACTTAGCAACAGAAATGTTGGACTCAGGGGTTGGTCAGTACATCGAGAATGCAGAATTACCCTGGGCTGAAAGTTTTCTCTGCAGAAAACTTTCAAGCAAAATTCCGCCTTTGGTTGGTGTTTTTCAAAATGATTTTTTTTTAAAAAAAAATGCAAATATTCCTTCAGAATTTGCATGGTTGCTGGTGCTGTTAGGACAGCCCCTGGGAGAGGACCGTTTGCAAGGACGGGAGGCGTGCGTGCTTAGATTTCCTGCCTTCCTTTTCATGTCCCTTCCCAGTTCTCATTTCTGTCTCTCTTTTCTCCCTCCCCTCCTGTAGTAGCACCAATATCTTGCTTGTAATATCCTGCTTCTGGAGTTTTTAACCTCCTCCCGGTTGCAACCTCTACTAGATCCCTCTGCCACCCAGTTCCTGCTCACAAGGAAGTGTTTGTGGATATGCAAAAATTTCCCGCTGCAGGGACATGTACACCCGTGAGCTTAGAGATTATCTTTTCACTGATGTCACCAGTACAATCAGTAGCAGGGAAGGGCCACTGTGCACTCCCCAACATACACACTCCTGGCTTGCAATGTCCTTTTTAAAAAAAAAAAAACAGTTCCTGGTTTAAGGAGGCCTTGTTAGTTTCAAGTTCCTTAATGCTCCTTTCCTTTCTTCTCATTTCTAAATTAATCTGGGGGTTTTAAGCTGGCCTACTATGGCCTTTTGGGCACCTGCTAGCCCATAGGTTGCTGGATAAGTCAAACGGCAATTGCTCTGCTCACAGCTCTCATCCCTGTAGCAACCTTAGGGGATAGCAGGTGCCATATCTTGTTTCTTTCTACCCCTATCCTTGCTAAAAAGCCTAATGCAGTTCTAGGTTGTTTCATGATCATGTGAAGTGATTGTACCGCTTTATGCTGTACTGGTTAGGCCAGACTTGGAGCACTGCATCAAATTCTAGTTGCCATGAGGGCAATAGCAATAGCACTTAGACTTATATACCGCTTTGTACTGCTTTCCAGCTCTCTCTAAGCAGTTTACAGAGTCAGCCTCTTGCTCCCAACAATCTGGGTCCTCGGAAGGACGGAAGGCTGAGTCAACCTTGAGTCAGCGAGGATCGAACTGTTGGCAGTCGGCAGAATTAGCTTGCAATATTGCATTCTAGCCACTGCGCCACCACGGCTCACATAGCAATAGCATTCGCACTTAGACTTATATACCACTTCATAATCTTTACCCCCCATTCTAAGCGGTTTGCAGAGTCAGCCTCTTGCCCCCAACAATCTGGGCCTCGTTTGACCGATCTCAGAAGGACGGAAGGCTGAGTCAACCTTGAGTCGGCGAGGATCGAACTGTCGAACTGCCAGCAGCTGGCAGAAGTAGCCTGCAGTACTGCATTCACCGAGCCATCATGACACAGTGATGCAAAAAATAAAAATGTGGGGAACCCTGGAAAGGATGCAGAGGAGAGCAATGAAGATGATCAGGGGACTGGAGGATAAACCATGCATTGAACAGTTGCAGGAAATGGGCATATCTAGTCCAACGGAGAGAAGGACTACGGGTGACATGATAGCAGTCTTCCAGGACTTCAGGAGGGTTTGTGGACTGCGTCAAGGAGGACGTCTAAAACTCAACTCTTCAGTGGGTCAGAGGACTCTCCACCCTTGGCCTTCTTAATAATTACCTTTTGGCTATTTGTGTCCCTGTGATAATAGCTTTGGAATGCAGGGGGAGTCTTGTTTTGCTTGGGAATAGTTTTGTCGCTTAAATATGGCAACAATCTCACAAGGGAGGGAAGGAGCCTTGGAGAGCGTGAAGGAAGCTGGGCAGATGCTTGGAGTAAGCTCAAGCCACATCCCCATCTTTGTGCATCAGACTACAACTTCCATCAGCTCCGGCAGTTATCCGTTGTGGCTCCCGGGAGGAGACTTAGAGGATGTCATCGTCTAAGTTGAGATGAACTGTAGATTAGCTAGAGTTTGTGAATTTCAACTGATATAGGCACAGGTTAACAGAGTTGGAAGGGACCTTGTAGGTCATCTAGTCTAACCCACCACCCAAGCAGACCCTACACCATTTTTGACAGATGGCAGCCCAGCCTCATCTTGAAAGCTTCTATGAATGAAGCTCGCAGAAGGCAACTTCCATTCGGTTGATTGTTCTCACTGTCAGAAAGTTTCTCCTTATTTCCAGGTTGAATCTCTCCTTGTTCAGTTTCCATCCATTATTCCTTGTCTGGCCTTCGGGTGCCTCGGAAAATAGCTTGAACCCCGCTCCTCTTTTCTGTGGCAGCCCCTCAAATATTGGAAAGCTGCTATCCTGTCTCCCTTGGTCCTTCTCTTCACTAGACTAGCCAGGCCCAGTTCCTGCAACCCTTCTTCATAAGTTTTAGTCTCCAGTCCCTTCATCATCCTGGTTGCTCTTCTTTGCACTCTTCCTAGAGTCTCAACATCTTTTTTATAGTGTGGTGACCAAAACTGAATGCTGTACTCTAGATGTGGTCTTACTAAGGCTTTATAGAGTGGTGTTAGTACCTCCTTTGATCTTGATTGCATTCCTCTGTTAATGCAATTTAGGATTGCACTGGCTTTTTGGGCTTCCGCCATGTACTACTGGTTCATATTTAATAAAACGGCAATGGATGTGGCTGACAGATGAGAATTAGCTTGGTCTTCTTCATCTTTTTGATAAATTGTATTTCTGGATGCTTAATGTTAGTTAAGTTATAATATAATGCATCTGGGTATGTTCTTCTCCCCTTCTCTTGTTCCTCCCATACGTCTATTTCCCACTTCTGATTTCTCAGCTTTTGACTTGAGCTAGGATTATAGATATTTCTACTAAAGGATGCTTGCTCCTGGGGAGGAAAGCTATGGCAAATCTAGACAGCCTACTCAAAAGCAGAGAGGTCCTCCTGCCAACAAAAGTGAGTATAGTCAAGGCTATGGTTTTCCCAGTTGCAATGTATGGCTGGGAAAGTTGGACCATAAGGAAGGCTGAGCGCCAAAGAATGGAGGTTCTTTGAACTCATGTGCTAGAAGAGGAGACTCCTGCGAGTCCCTTGGACTGCAAGGCCATCCAACCGGTCAGTCCTAGAGGAGATCAACCCTGGCTGCTCTTTAGAAGGCCTGATCCTGAAGATGAAGCTCAAAGACTTTGGCCACCTCATGAGAAGGAAGGAAGGACTCCCTGGAGAAGAGCCGAATGCTGGGAAGAGGAAGAAGAAGGGGACGGCAGAGAAGGAGGAGGCTGGATGGAGTCACCGAAGCAGTCATCGTGAGCTTAAATGGACCCCAGAAGATGGTAGAGGACTTGAAGGCCTGGAGGAACGTTGTCCATGGGGTTGCGATGGGCCGGACACAACTTCACAACTAACAATAACAACTTTATCCATTGATGATGTTGAGATGTCTCCCTATGTGGAATGTAACCACTTCTGGATTTTGAAGGGGGGTCCCTTGTCAACTGAAACAAGGTCCAACTTGGTTAGAAAGACCTTCTCCCATAATCTGGTACCTTCCTGGTGGATTGGGCTGCCAATCTTAAAAGTCCTGGCTGGGGATTATGGGGGTTAAAACCCGACACCTTTGGCAGAGATCAGTATGGGGAAGGTTGATCTCTGGCCTGCCACGAGGACTTTGTCATTTCAGATCCTCACCGGTGTGGCGAGTTTCTGTTCTCTTTTGTGTAATTTTTAACCAGAATGGAATGCAGAAAGGCTGGTTCGAAGGTGGTAGAGTTTTAACTTGGGGTAGATGTGGAAAACTGGCAGTGAAGGAAGACAGACTGCCTTACGGGAAAACGTGTGTGTGTGTGTGTGTGTGTTTGTGTGTATGTGTGTACGTGTGTGTGCTCACACACACTTGGGAATTGTGTGTATCTTGTCAATGAAAGTTTTGTGTTCCTGTTCCCATTCACCCTTTTTTTCCCCTCCAGCCTTCCAGCTTTCAGATTGTTTATTATAAATGGCTCCTGTTTTTTTTCTTCTTTTTTTAAATAACACTGATAAACTTTTCTAGATGTTTCGGACTGGCTGTAGATTTATTAGGAAACCTGCTTGTGCCCCGTTCTTTATTCATGGGGGTTTTCCCCCCTCCCCAGTCCAACATGCCTTGACTTCACAACCCATTTAACGACGAGAGAGAAGCGATCCCACTTGGTGCCCAAGAATTAGGTGGGAATCATTCTTGGCCATCCGTTTCCTAACTCCCCCCTTTACGGTTGCCTCGCCCTGCAGCCTTCGACTCAAAAGCCCTTGCTCTGTTTGGGTTACCTGCCCGCAAGGTTGCACTGCTTTTGTTGCCTTAGATCCTGTGTGCTCCTGTGTTTGCATGAAGGGTGGGACGAGAGGCTGGCGAGAGTCTTGTAAAACATTTACAAAAGCCAGCCAGCCATAGATTTGAAGGGCATTCCACTGCCAAGCTGGCTGGGGGGAGGAGAAAGAGGCGAACATTACGTGAGCAGACGAAGGACAGCTACTTGGCAGGTACGCTGGTGATATTTTATTTTTTCTCCCCTTCTTTTTGAGATTCAGGGTCGGAGGGGTGTCGCTGGCCCGGCGGGGCTTGGGAATGAAAGCAATGCCCACCTCCCTTTCTGACAGATTTAGAGAAATCCACTGAGGGCGGACAGTTGTGATTTGTGATTTTTTGAAATAATATATCAATATATGTACCTTTTTTTTTTTTTTTAAAGGTAGCCAAAAGTTTAGGACTTGCAAAGGTGCGGGGTTTTGTAGCCCAAATGAAGTTTACAGCCGATTTCGAGTACCGGGGTTCTGCTAAATAATCTGGGGGTGCAAGTAGAAGGGTTCAAATCAGCAATTCCTGGGAACGTTTTAACGGAGGAGGGGGGGTGGATTTCATCGAATCGAACCTCCGAACGATAGTAAGAAAACTTTGTCTTTCCTCCTTAGAGGGTTGAAGGAGGATGTTTTGCTCGTAATTGGAGACTGCATCGCATGCAGTAAGATATAGATTAGGTGAGATCCTATCACAGCCATTACACCTGACAAAGGCAGAAATCTGATGTGTAACTTGCCCACGCTGGTTCTGCTGCTGGTTTGTATTGCTGTTCTGCAAATGCACTAGTACTAATCAAGTTATTAGAGTTAATCAGGAGTTATTTTTCTATTCATGATTTTTCTTGTGGTTCTCTCTCTCTCTCTCTCCCTCCCTCTCTCCCTCCCTCCCGCCCTCCCTTTCTTTCTGGTACTGTAAATTATCATAACGCTTTGGGCAAAAGTTCAGAATTTCTATTGCCTGGGAAAAGAACCCGCAATTGTTTCATAACCACAATTGATATATTGAATATCACGCTGTTCTTTCTTTCTTTCTTTCTTTCTTTCTTTCTTTCTTTCTTTCTTTC